AATTTAAAAAAAAAAACCTGAAATATACCAAGAATCCTCTTGGGCCATAGTGGAAGAAAAATAGAAATGAATACAAAGAGGAACTCTCAAAAACAAACAAATACATGAAAACTAAAGAACTTGCTCCCGAATGACTTTTGAGTAAAGAACAAAATTAAGGCAGAAATAAAAAAATTATTTGAAACAATGAAAATCAAGATATAACATACCGAAACCTCCAGGATGCAGCAAAAACAGTGTTAAGAAGAAAGTTTATAGTGCTAGATGCCTACATAAAAAAGAAAAATCTCAAATTAACAACGTAATGTCACACTTAAAGGAACTAGAAAAACAAGAACAAATTAAACACCGAAACTAGCTGAAGAAATAATAAAAATCAGAGCAGAACTAAATGAAGTTGAGACTAAAAGAACTATATATAAAAAAAAATGGTTCTTTGAAAGGATAAACAAGATCAATAAACCACTAACTAGATTAGTAATTACCTAGAAATATACAGCCTCCAAAGATTGAATCAGAAAGAAACTGAAACCCTGAACAGACCAGTATTGAGTTCCAAAATTGAATCAGTAATAAAAACCTTACCAACTAAAAAAAAAAAGTCCTTGACTAGATGGATTCACAGCCAAATTCTAACAGAGGAACAAAGAAGAGCTGATAACAATTCTACTGAAACTATTCCAAAATATCAAAGAGGAGGGACTCCTCCCTAACTGATTCCACAAAACCAGTATCATCCTGATACCAAAATCTGGCAAAGACACAACAAAAGTCGAAAACTACAGGCCAATATCCCTGATGAACACAGATGCAAAAATCCTCAACAAAATACTGGCAAATGGAACACAGTAGCACATCAAAAAGGTAATCCATCACGATCAAGTGGGCTTCTTTCCTCAGATGCAAAGGTGATTCAATATATGCAAATCAGCAACTGTAAAAAGAGAATTTAAAACAAAAACCATATGATCATATCAACAGATGCAGAAAAAACATCAGATAAAATGTAACATCTCTTTAGGATAAAAACCCTCAACAAACTAGGCATTGAAGATAAAACTACAGTTAATATTATACTTAATGGAGAAAAGTTGAAAGGGTTTCCCCTAAAATCTGGAACAAAACAGGGTGGTCCACTTTCACCACTCCTATTCAACACAGTACTAAAGTCCTAGCAAGAGCAATCAGCCAAGAGAAAGAAATAAGAGGCATCCAAAGAAGAAGTCAAGTTATCTGTCCTCACTGACAATAGGATTCTACACCTAGAAAACCCTGAAGATCCTGCCAAAAGACTCCCAGACCTGAAACATGACTTCAGCAAAGTTTAAAGTTACAAATTCAAAGTACAAAAATCAGGAGTTTGCATTGAAACAACACATTTAAGAAAAAAAAATGAGAAGCATTTCTATAAACCAGTAACTTCAAGCTGAAAAGCAAATCAAGAGCACAATCCCGTTAACAACAGCCACACACACAAAAAATCAAACCTAGGAAAACAAAAAACCAACAGCTAAAGAAGTATTTGCTTCACTTTGATCAACCACTTTTCCCTCCAATAAACTGTACTGGCTGACCAAGAAGTACTGAATTTACATTAAAAATGGGTAACTCATCAAGCAAGTAAATGCTCCTCAGTCAGACATTATCAAAGATTCACCCATTTCCAAACTCGCAAAATTTTTGCATCACTAAAAATAATATGGCTTTGGTAGTGATCAGCATTAGATACTGCTCATTAACTTGATTTGAACAAGAAGGGTACAGCACTGGTGTTTTGTCTTTTGTGGGTTTTCTTTGTTTTTTTTTTGTTTGTTTGTTTTTTGAGATGGAGTCTTGCTCTGTCACCCAGGCTGGAGAGCAGTGGCACGATCTTGGTTCACTGCAACCTCCACCTCCTGGGTTCAAACGATTCTGCCTGGCTAATTTTTATATTTTTAGTAGAGACAGGGTTTCACCATGTTGGCCAGGCCAGTCTCAAACTCTTGAACTCAAGTGATCTGCCTACCTCGGCCTCCATAATTCCTGGGATTACAGGCCTAAACCACCACACCTCACTGAATTTGAGAGTAACTTGAACAATGGTAACAAATGTGAATGACTGTTGACCATCTCATCTAAGAGAATTTTTTCAAATTTGGATTTACAGTGCCACAATATTGCTTCACCCAAGCAGGTCAACTATTTCATAAAATTATATTGTTTTCCTCTGACAACAAGAAAGATGTAATCTCTGTTAGACATATTCAGAAAGGTTTGTTTTCTGTATCTGGTATGATTTTTTTTTTCTCATTAAAAGAAAAATTCCTGTGAAACAAGTTGAGATCATCTAGCCACTTAAGTAATATTAGATGCCTCAGTTCACTAACTTTTCACTTCCCATTCTACTCCTTACATTAGTAAACCAAAATACAAAACTCCAAGATTATTAATCTAGGTAGCTAGTCATCAACTATAAGTCCAATATTTTAATAGTTACAAATAGCTAAAAATGTTGATAAAATAGATCAGACAGTATAAGACCTTTTGGGACAGGAGAAGAAAACAAACCTGGAAAACCTAGTTATAGTGCTTTGGTAGAATGAATAAGCCTTATGTCTACAGTCAGCGGTTGGGCTTTAAGTTCCAGTTCTACTTGTATTTAGCTGTGGAATCCCTGGAGAAGTTACCTAGTTTTTCTAAGCCTCAGTTTCACCAGGCCTCCTTCACAGGGATTCTGTGAATGAAAAACACCATCATGTATAAAACTTGACTTAAAATGTGAAACCATACAATGAATGCACCTAGTTAGGAGGCATAACGACACTTTCTACCCAAACATTAGGGAGGGAGTTGCCCACAGGCAGCCACCAAGTCCACAGGCTGCTTACTACCATGCAGAGCAATGGCTTTCACTTTCAACTTCCACCTCTGAAAGGGACATTTTTAGGAGTGCTGTAGAGGGAAGGGGGAAGAAGGGAACAATGAAAAAGAATTATTTAAGCAAAATGTCTACTTGTTATGAATCAAGGGATTGCATGAGGTTCAAAGAGCAATGCCAATAGAAGCAAATTAAAACACTGATGTTTAGCCTCCCTCTACTGTACATATTTTAGCCCAACTAGAAATTATTAATGGCAAGTTTAAATAATCTGATTTATCAATATAAAAATCAAAAGGAAAAACCACCCACAGACTACAAAACATTATAAATAAGAATTAAACAGAGTAGCCACATACACGGCCAAAGTGCTCCCATCCCCAATTCCCCCCACCACCGCCCCAATACAAGAGTACAGGTGAAGAGACAACAACAGGAATATGTTTGGGTCATTATTTTCACTTTAGGTGAAGATGTATTTGATGATCTCACTCATTCTGAGCAAATGGGAAATATACAATTAGATATGTTGAAATGCTGGAACAAAAGAGAACAGAAAAAGTGGCTTCAATATGTGAGTAATGTTTGCAATATACCCACATAACAGATTACTGGAAACTGCTAAGTTAGTGAAAATCTGAACAAAGAATTTGATTTTTAATTCTTAGTGATGTTATTAATGACTCAATTAAATAGCATCAAAAACCATCTCATCTTCAATAAACATGACAAAAACAAGCAATGGGGAAAGATTCCCTGTTTAATAAATGGTGCTGGGAAAACTGGCTAGCCATCTGCACAAAGCTGAAACTAGACCCCTTTCCTGACACCTTACACTAAAATTAACTCCAGATGGATTAAAGATTAAGCATAAAACCTAACATAATAAAAACCCTAGAAGAAAAACTAGGCGAAACCATTCAGGAGATAGGCATAGGCAAGGATTTCATGACTCAAACACCAAAAGCAATGGCAAAAAAAAAGCCAAAATAGACAAATGGGATCTAATTAAACAAGAGTTTCTGCACAGCAAAAGAAACAATCATTAGAGTGAACAGGCAACCAACAGAATGGGAAAAAAATCTTTGCAGTCTAGGCATCTGACAAAGGCCTAATATCCAGAATCTAAAAAGAACTAAAGCAGATTTACAAGAAACAAACAAACCAACCCATTCAAAAGTGGGCGAAGGATATGAACAGACACTTTTCAAAAGAAGACATACATGAAGCCAACAAACATATGAAAAAATGCTCATCATCACTGGTCATCAGGGAAATGCAAATCAAAACCACACTGAAATACCATCTCATTCCAGACAGAATGGCTATCATTAAAAAATCAGGAGACAACAGATGCTGGAGAGGATGTGGAGAAAAAGGAACACTTACACACTGTTGGTGGGAGTGTAAATTAGTTCAACCATTGTGGAAGACAGTGTGGCAACTCCTCAAGGATCTAGAAATAGAAATTCCATTTAACCCTGCAATCCCATTACTGGGTATATATCCAAAGGATTATAAATTGCTCTATTATAAAGACACATGCACATGTTATGTTCACTGCAGCACTGCTTACAATAGCAAAAATCTGGAACCAACCCAAATGCCCATCAATGATAGACTGGACAAAGAAAATGTGGCACATAAACACCATGGAATACTATGCAGCAATAAAAAAGGATGACTTCATGTCATCCACAGGGACATGGATGAATCTGGAAACAATCATTCTCAGCAAACTGACACAAAAACAGAAAACCAAACACTGCATGTTCTCACTCACAGGCAGGTGTTGAACAATGAGAACACATGGACACAGGGAGGGGAGCATTACACAGTGGGGTCAGTGCCGGGGGATGGCCAAGGGAGGAACAGCGGGGGGGGTGGGGAGGCTGGGAGGGATAACATGAGGAGAAATGCCAGTTACAGGTGATGGGGGGATGGAGGAAGCAAACCACTTTGCCAAGTATGTACCTATGCAACAATCCTACATGATCAACATATGTACCCCAGAACCTAAAATACTTTTTTTAGAGCATTTAAAAATGCAATAGTATCTGTTATATGGAGTTATACATGCAGACAAGATGAAGACAGAAAAATCATCCCGCTTTCTTTATACATATAGAACTTAAAAACTTACTAGATTCCATCGTCATCTGGAGCAAACTATCAATAACATTAGACAGGAGTCCTTTACTGGATATTCTTAGATGACTTAATATTACTGGAACAGCTTGATACTCTAAAAACAAGGTTTTTCCTTCTTCTGTCTTCAAGTCCAAACAAAGAGAATCAAATGCCTGAGCCAGGTAATCAGCTGGAAAATAGTATGTACAGTCAACTGCAGTTTTGCTAGTCTAGGTGGCAATCAGAAACAGAAGGTAAAAAAGCAATGTCATTACTCTAACAAACTCAAAAGAGAAACAAAAATTAAATAAGATATCACAGTCTAAATTTAGATTCTAACTAATTTGTCAGAACTCAAATGGGCAAGGAGAGAGGAGACGTTATGATTGGGTAAATTTCATTCAGAATTTTCCTGTTTTACCACCAAAACAACAAATAAGCCCCATTTTTTAATACTAAGGAAGCCCCAATATTTAATACTAAGAAAGAAAAACAATGCTTATTAGTATCACAAATAATGTATATTTTCGATATTTGATAACCACTACATACTTCCAAAAACTTAGTATTTCTATTTTTATAATAGCTTTCTAAGATTTTATGTTTTTTGTTGCTGTTTTTAAATGTTTACCTACTTCAAAATATAACTTTATAAAAACATGCTAAATAGACTTTAAATAAGGATTTCTGCCTCCTAGTAAAGCTGAAACAAAAGGCCATTCAAAGATAACTTCAGAAGACTGACTATGCTCTGGTGTGTCACTTTTAATGATACATCTGCTATTAAGAATGGCAGCAAGATTTCACCCAGGTCAGCACTGTGATGACTGCTGAATCGGAATCCATGAAACTTTCTTAAGGATGTCTCACAGATGACTGGGAAACCTGTAAGCCCAGGACTGGGAAGCACTAATTTAACCAGAATCAGTGCAAATGACGTAGTAAGATACTTGCGTCATTACACTTCAGTACACCACACAACTCAAGTTCCTACTCTTACAACAGTCTTACTTTGTGATTTTAATGTACAATAATCAAGTTTTCTAAAACTCTCCTTTCAAAATGTTATTCAAAGAAATAAAAAACTGTTCATACTATCCAAGTCATAGTTAATTTTTCTACTAAGATTTCTGTTTAAAGAAGACTCAAGAACACCATGAAATACTGAAAGCATAACAGAATCACCGTATTAAAAATGACTCTTTTGTAGTCTCATGTTGTATTTCTTCTTTGCTGTTTCAGCTTACATAATAAATAATTTAAAATCCTGGTTATTAAGAATGAGAAATTGAGAATAACCTATGTGAAGTTGAAATACATATGCAACTATTTTGAGAAATTAAGATCTGTGCCTCTGGATTAACTTACAGTACGCTCCATTTTTACCATTGGTAGAATTTTGTTCAAGGAACACTAACAGTACTGTACTTAATTTTGTGGTTTAAAAAAACATTGTAAATAAATGCGTATTAAGTTAAACAAAGTTGTTAGATTCTATTCAGACTAGTCTTATTTAGAAACATCTTTTTTTTTAGCAACAACACAGATATAAGAGTATATAGACAGATGAAGCCTGAAAGTAACTTACAGAAACAAAAGTTTTATCGCAGTGCCACCTACTGTATTTGACACGAATTATTCTTAGTATATAATTTGACAAGATTAAACAGGTTGAATACAGTATTTAAAAATAGGCTGACTACTATACTGTATTGTTTGCAAACTTTAAAAAATTGTCCCTTATTAATTTTGAGGATTAGAAAACTGTATTTGGTTACTTTCTCACAAGTGACCTTATATTTTACGAATAAATCAAAACTATGTCCTCATTTTAATTTTGTCTTCATTTTAATTCATTGAATGGTTCAGATTTTCTAAAAACAAGACCAATTTAACTTCTAAAAGGGTATTTTTTAAATTTTAGTTATCAATTATATCAAAGTTGATTTATTTTAGTTATATTATTGAATCTTTTAACAATGTCCTGACAATCAAATGTTAACCTTTTTTATTCCCTAACAAAGGTCAAACTTCAAACTATTCATCTTAATCAATATCAAATAGGAGTTTTCCATTATTTTTTTTATATGGCAGATTAAAAAATGATTATAAAGTGTTTTGCAGAAATGCCTATCAAAAGGTGAACTCTACCGCCCACCCTTTGAATTTGGTCTAACCTTGTGACTTAACCAATAAAATCCAACAGAAATGATGCTGTATGAATTAGGAGCCTGAGGCTCGGTTAGATGCTCTTCACTTATAAACAGGCCCCTGGAGAGAGGCCAACCAAGAACAGGAGAACTTAGCCCAGCCCAGCCAGACATCCAGCTGAGCTGAGCACAAATCACCAACCCAAAGAACTGTGAGCAGGTAAACAAAATGGTGGTTGAACTAAGTCACTAAGTGTATGGCAGTTTATTATGCAGGAACAGACAACAAATGTAGTAACAGACCTCAATTCTGATCTCAAGTAAAACCAACTCTTAAAAGTTTAACAATAATGTCTACTGATAACAATACTAGTTATCAGTATATACAATACAATAGTATTTCAGAGATTGAGCATAACATACTGATTAAGTGTGCATGCTAAACGTTTTTATGCCTCATTTTCCTCATTTGTAAAATTACAATATTATTAATATTGACATCTCGTGAACTGCTGTAAGGATTAAATGAGTTAATATATAAAAAGTGTTTGGCCTATCACATAAGTGCTATGTAGGTGTTCGTTGTTATTTCTTTGGTTATCTCAGGAAGTGCATAATCTTAGGTAGTCATAAAGTAGGCTTAAGAAATTAGGCTTCAGCAATTGAAAGAGCTGGACTAAATTAGACTCTGTCAAATGCAGATTGTATCACTTCCCTTCAGCACAATTACCTACTTTTGTAAACCTCATCACTAATATGAGGATAACAGCATTCAGAGATAAGGTATAAAGAGCTTAGCATCTGTGGTGTTAGGATATAGATTCTCCCCTCTTGTTAGTCTTTTGTTATGATGTTGAGTTTGTTAGGCCTCAGGGGCAGGTCTCTGACCTTCTCCTGCCCTCCTTTCACCTGGCCCAAGCCAGGACTCTAATCTGTCCCAGACTTTCTAATTGTGGGTCTTAAGACCCTCCCCAGAGAGAGTCCTGCCCTATATCCTGGGGGACAGCATTGTGACATCACGAAGCACCCATAAAAACTCAAAAGAACGGCTGAGCATGGTGGCTCACACCTGTAATCCTAGCACTTGGGAGACCAAGGTGGGTGGATCACCTGAGGTCAAGAGTTTGAGACCAGCATGGCCAACGTGGTAAAACCCTATCTCTACTAAAAATACAAAGATTACCTGGGCATGGTGGCAGGTGCCTATAATCCCAGCTCCTCAGGAGGTTGAGGCAGGAGAATTGCTTGAACCCAGGAGGTGGAGGCTACAGTGAGCCAAACACCATCACACTCTAGCCTGGGCAACAAGAGCAAAACTTTATCTCAAAAAAACAAAAATAAAAACAGAGAACTGGGTTCAGAGAGCTCATAAAATTCAGGGAAACACTTAATGCTTACCTGTTTATTATAAAGGATATTGTAAACGATGTAGATGAAGAGAGAGACTTAGGGCAAGGTAAAGGGGAAGGGACATGGAACTTCTGTGCCCTCCCTGGGGCATCATGCTCCAGGGGAAGGGACATGGAACTTCTATGCCCTCCCTGGGGCATCATGCTCCAGCTGGACACATGAAGGTTCCTGGAGCATGATGCCCCAGGGAGGGCACAGAAGTTCCATGTCCCTTCCCCTTTACCTTGCCCTAAGTCTCTCTCTTCATCTACATCCTTTACAATATCCTTTATAATAAACTGGTAAACATTAAGTGTTTCCCTGAGTTCTATGAGCCACTCCAGCAAATTAAATCCAAAGAAGGGGTTGTGGGAACCCCAACTTGAATCCAGTTGGTCAGAAGTTCCAGAGGCCCAGACTTGCAACTGGTGTGGCAGGGGACAGCCCTGGAGACTGAGCACCCAACCTGTGGGATCTGACACTATCTCTAGGTAGATCGTGTCAGAAGTGAATTAGAGCAGCTTGTGTCTGCTGCTTAGTGTTTGGGGAAAAACCTCCACACATTTTGTCACAGAAGTTGATAATTATTGTCATGTGGGAGTACAGAAAAAACACAAAGAGTTTTCCCTACACAAGACGGTGGTGTCAAAACTCACCAAGTATTATATACAGGCATTGATCAACTTACACCTATGCAACTTACGACCATTCGACTTTATGACCACAATCACTAGCCACGACTGCTCCGTGTCTGGCAGCGCAAACGCTGCCCAGCTGGGCGTACGACAGTGCGGACCAGCTTCCGGCAGCACTACCATCTCCGCGTGCACCATTTCAACTGTTATCCCAGACTCGGTACAGCAATTTGTGTTTTGTGTCTTGGATATTTTTCATCAAACCCCTCCCAAGATGTCTACCAAGAGGAAATTGTGTCTATGCCTCAGCCTGCCAAGAAGGAAAGAAAGGCCATTGATCTCAACATGAAAATGAAGGTAATTAAGCAGTACGAAGGAGGAAAGAAAGTGAATGTGATCGCACGTGATACGAAGTTATCACACTCGACTGTGTCGACGATTTTGAAAGATAAAGAAAGACTTTGTGAAGCTGTGAAAGGTTCTGCACCCATGCGATCAACAGTTGTAACAAAGCAACGAAGCAGGCCCATAATGAAAGAAAATTATGATAAAACATGACTTAAAGATTTTTATAACATCATTTCACAGTACTGTACATTTAGCCTACTAAACTTACGACCAAATTGTGTTACGACTGGTCTGTCGGAACCAATCGTGGTCGTAAGTCGAGCACCAGCTGTATGCTGATTCTTACATGAACAGTCTACGCAATATAACCAGGTATTATCTTTATAGATCTACATGTATTTGGATTACGCATTTGATGTGTATTATCCAAAACATTTGCCTATTATCCAACACATTTGCCTACTTTATATTTTCTGCTAAATCTATCAAATTTGAAACTGATATTCCTATTTCATAAATAGGAAACATCTTCTTACCAGAGTTAGGTAAGTCTACTCATGATTTAAGAATTTTTCTTATGTTTAATTTCTAGTTCTCCTAGAATTTTTTTCATTATATTTAATGATAAAGGATAAACAGCTGGTAAACTGGTATATCTAAATTTCATTTTTCTCCATACTTATAACCATTCTACTAGTGGTAGTTAATAGATGATTTCTTTCCTTTCTTAGGTCTTTCACTTGGTTTCTTTGCTATATTCTGTGATTACACCAATTGAGATCCAACAGCAGCCTTTCAAACTTACAGCCTATTCAGCCTCTCTGGAGCATCTGATAATGAGGAGGAAGCACATGTTGAAAAGGAATCAGTTGATCTGCTCCTGAATTTGATATTGATGTAAACTTGGAGCCACGCACCTTTCTTAATATTAATTTCCTCTCCCTCAAACATGAGCACAGAGAATATATTCCTCAGGGTAACGTTAATCTTCATAAGCTATTTCAAAGTCACCTCATAAACTCTAAGACCATATTTCCCAAATTATCTTCCTTAGAAAATTAGTTCTGTATATTGCTTTCTCACAAACGGTTTGAGAGTTAAATAAGTTTGGGAAATGTTGCATACAACATACTCAAGTTTTAAGAGATTTAGAATGCCCACTAGAACGTTAATGAACTTTGCTTATCCTGAAATTTCCCAAACATTTTAAACTGTAGACCCCAATGACTCCTCCTTTATTTTCTTGAGGAGCATCTATTATTTAGCCCAAGGAGCTGCTTTCCCATGAAACGGACTGCTAGGATGTCCCACACAAACATGCAGATATCTTTTTAAAGTAGTGATTAAAGGATCAGGGGACCTCTTTGGATTCTCATTATTTCCCATTGAAGCTGGTACAGTTTTAAAATCTCCAAAGCTCTCATTCATGCTGGAGAGGATGTGGAGAAATAGGAACGCTTTTACACTGTTGGTGGGAGTATAAATTAGTTCAACCACTGTGGAAGACAGTGTGGCAATTCCTGAAGGATCTAGAAATAGAAATACCATTTGACCCAGCAATCCCATTACTGGGTATATATCCACAGGATTATAAATTGTTCTATTATAAAGAACACATTTGACATGATTCTATGTTCTTAAAAAAATGACTTTCACAAAGAAGTAAAGTCATTCATTCCATAAATAATATGAAGTGCCAATTTTGATTCATTTCCGGACTTACTATTCCCACTAACCTGTTTTGATACATTAAATCCATTATTACTCATTTCAGGTCATTACATAGTAGGATTGTTTTAAAGTCGGCTGAGCCTCTGCCCCAGTGTTGTCGTTTTACTTGTTTTAAATCATTGCATTTGTTGCAATCTTTTTCCACATAAATTTCCCTATCACTTCCTCAATTTATGCAAACTATATTAGAATTTTAACTGGTATTAAGCCATGTAGGACATCTTATTTTTAAAATACTTGGTCTTCATAGGCAGGAAGAATAAAAGTTCTTTATTTCTGACATTTAACTTCAGTAACAATCTTCACCAACCTATTGATTCATCCATTATTTATCCATATTCTTATGCCCTGTTATATTTCTTCGAAAGCCCTTGATTAATACGGAGTATCCACAAATTAATGGTTTTCTCTACTCCTTCCCGATATTCATACTTCATTTTTTCATGGCTCATTACAGATGTCCAAAACTGTCTTGCACACAAGTGGTGACAGAGAGCACCTAATTCCCTTCTATTTCAAATAAATATACCTTATTGCATTTTTGCTTTTGACATTTTACAAGAAATGAATATTATGTTATTAAATGATATAATATGTTGATACATTATTTTAAATACCTTTCTCAGTTAAATAATAATTTTTCTTATATTAAATTGGCTTTAAATTCTTGACACTAACCTTATTTGATCTTTGGGGAACATATTTTGTAATGTGTGGCTATGGTCTGTCAGCTAAAATTCTTATTTAGAATTTATTTACCTGTGGGTATGTAAGTGTGTATGTATTTTTTTTAAGATTCGGAGATAGGCCTGTGGTGAACTTTATTTTGGGCTAATCCCTGCTTCTCGTAAGTGACTTTTCATATACTTATCACCTAGCCTATTGTAATTTTGAGAACCATAACCATAAGGAGACAAAATAATTAAGAAGGCAAAGTTATATGGTTTTTTCTTTTTCATCAATTCCATATCATCTGGAGTAAGTAAAACGTATTTCAAAGAAAGAAGTCAAAATTAAATTACTGTCATTGCCCATTAATAAAAACAACAATCCGAGTCACATAATTTAACAGGAAAACAGAAAGATGATATATTCATTGCCTGACTACACTGGCATAACTCACTTTAACAAAAATTATCATATTTAATAATCAAAAAATATAACCAGTTATAGCTAAATATTAAACACATGATAATTAAGGCCAAATCTGAAGGATTTCTAATTCATCCACTTGCTTATTCACTATTATACATGAAGCACTATGCTAGGTGCAGGGTCATTATAAACAAGTTTTCTCTTCTTTTTCTTTTTTTTTTTTCTTTAAAATGGGAGTTTCGCTTTTGTTGCCCATGCTGAAGTGCAATGGCACGATTCCAGCTCACCACAACCTCCACATTCTGGGTTCAAGTCATTCTCCCGCCTAAACCTCCCAAGTTGCTGAAATTACAGGCAAGCATCACCATCCCCAGCTAATTTTTTGTATCTTTAGTAGAGATGGAGTTTCTCCATGTTGGTTAGGCAGGTCTCAAACTCTCGACCTCAGGTGAGCTGCCCACCTCAGCCTCCCAAAGTGCTGGGATAACAGGCGTGAGCCACTGCGCCCGAACACAAACAAGTTTTTTCTTCAAGAAACTTAAAAGCTAGTACGAGCACTGAAAAACATTTTCTATAAAAGGCCAGATGACAATATTACAGGCTTTGGGGGCCATACAGTCTCTACTGCCAACTACTCAAGTCTGTCACTGTAGGACAAAGAGTCATAGACAGTGTACAACAAATGAGCATGGCTGTGGAAGAAAACTTCATTTACAAAACAGGTGGTAGGCCAGATTTTGCCCATTCACTAGTTTGCAAACCCATTTACTAGTGGAAAACAATAAACTAACTAGCAATTTCAACCTTACGTGACAAATACAAATAGATGTAAGCAAAGTATGGGAATATGACCTAAGACACTCAAAGGCTTCTTGGGAGGAGGCAACAATCCAACTAAAGACTTCGATTTCTCAAATTCAGCAAATAAAAGTAGCTTTTTATAATGTATAACCATTATAAATCAATTCAAAATCTCATTCTGAAAATGTACAACATATATGATTATAAAGGAATTGCTTTAATATGATATTCTCTACTGTTTCTCAAAATTATACCATAAGCACACTTGAAAGCTTACCTCGAGTGACTGTTTTGAGAACAATTAAAGTTGATAAAAATCTCAAAGGCAAATTGGAGCTCTTAAAGAAAGCAGCCGTCTTTGGTTTATTCTCCACAGAATGCTCTAAAGAACTATCCTGGATCCCTTTAGTTACCACTCCTTTGAAAATGTCTTCACCCAATCTCCTCAATGTTGATGTCATAGTTGAGTGCTGTTAAAAATATGTACAATATTAGTATATTTATTCACGTTCAGAATATATATCTTTTTTTTTTTTTCGAGACAGAGTCTTGCTCTGTCACCAGGCGCCAGGCTGGAGTGCAGTGGTGCAATCTCGGCTCACTGCAACCTCCGCTTCCTGGGTTCAAGTGATTCTCCTGCCTCAGCCTCCCAAATACCTGAGACTACAGGCATGCGCCACCATGCTCAGCTAATTTTTGTATATTTAGTACAGATGGAGTTTCACCAGGTTGGCCAGGGCGGTCTCAATCTCTTGACCTCATGATCCACCCACCTCAGCCTCCCAAAGTGTCGGGATTACAGGCATGAGCCACTGTGCCTGGCCCTTTTTTTTTTTTTTTTTTTTGAGACACAGTCTTGCTTTGTTGCCCAGCTTGGAGTGCAGTGGTGAAATCATGAATCACTGCAGCCTCAAACTCCTGAGCTCAAGCAATCCTCCTACCTCAGCCTCCCACTGGGACTACAGGCACTCACCACCACACCCGTTTTTGTTTTTGTTTCTTCTTTTTTTTTTTTTTATTTTTTATTTATTTTTTTTTTTATTAAGATGGGGTTTCACCATGTTGGTCAGGCTGATCTTGAACTCCCGACCTCAGGTGATCCACCCACCTTGGCCTCCAAAGTGCTTGGATTACAGGCGTGAGCCACCACGCCTGGCCTTTGTTGGTTTTTTTCTAGTAGAGATAGGGGTCTCACTAAGTTGCCAAGGCTGGTCTCAAACCCTTGGGCCTAAGTAATCTTCCTACCTTGGCCTCCCAAAATGCTGGGATTACAGGATTATGAGCCGCTGAGCCTGACCAATAACTATTTTAAATATTAAATCAAATATATGTATTAAAAGTAAGTGAATCTGTGGCTAATTTAAAAAATGAGGTTGAAAATATGCAAAATCGGGAAGTGGTAGTTTTATTATCAACATAAAAAATTATTTAAGTATGACTGTATGTTTTTCTAAAACATGTAAGAACATAAAATCAAGCTATATTTCTGACAGAGAAATATCAAGGGAACTTCAGAGGTGGACTACCTACTCTCTCAGTTGCTGATTGCTCTACCATCAGTGAAAACCAGCTTATCAGGCACATCTTTCTGTGTTCACTTATGAAATGATTATCACTGCCCTCTGCTCAGTCTGACTAGAAAAATCACAGTGACTCCAAAAACTTTTAGCAATTTCTAAACAGTAAAATACTGGGTTAGAATCATGGATGATTCTCATGGAGAATTAAAAAAAAGGGGGCAAAACAGAAATAGTGTCATGAAACTACTTCTAAAATATTATATGATCTAATGGTATTTGATATAGCTATCAAGAATCAAATGAAAGGAAAGCATTTCAAACTGCTGCAGATCAGAATGTTCAACCCAGATTTAGAAACAACTTAAAATTTCCTTTATTATGACCCAATTCCCAAATCTCATGTGACTTGAGTTTTATAGCAGTTTCACCATCTGCATGGAAATTTGTGACCAACTGGTTCCTAACTCAGTATTGATCCTGCAATGTGTTAAATTTCTCCATGTAAAATTAAAAACAAATCTATTGAGGTTTTGCAGGTGTCAAAAGGCCAAATGGTTGAGTGGTGAGACACACAAGCCAGTGCAATCTAATTTAATATACTGTTAACACAATCTTAATATTATTAGAAAAAATAATACTTACGTGTTTTTAAACTTATGTGTAAAAAATAGAAAAAATGTTCAAAACTCTACTTAGAGTAAGTGTGTTAAAATGGCAGGATTAAGATAACAACTTTTTTTTGTTTTTAAAATTATCTCTATTGCTTTACTACTACACTTTTATAATTAAACAAATAAAAATTTTAAAAAATACAGACAGTATTTACCTTCAATTGAAGGAAAAGAGAAAAAAATCAAAATAACACTCTGGGTTGTTGCTGAAGCTTCACCTAAGGATGCTAAAACTTTTTGCTAAAGCAAATCTGACTAGTTTTGCTTTAGCAAAATGTCTAGTTTTCAATCTAAAATCACCCATCATTCCAAGAACCAGACAAATTTCAAACTGAATGAAAAAAAGACAATCAATGGCTGCCAACACCAACAGCACAGAATGTTAGAATTGTCTGACAAAGATTCTAAAGCAGCCATGACAAAAGGATCACCTGCATGCACTTTTAGAAAATCTCATCAAAGAAATAGAAAGCCTTACCCAAAAAAATACAGAAAAAGAAACAAGAAACAAGTAGATATCTCAGAACTGGAAATACAGTAACAGTCTCAATAACAGAATGGAGGAGATGGATGAAAGGATAACTGGAAAAACAAAATGGAAAACACCCAACCTGATAAACTGCAAACAACCTGGAAAAATAACAAAAACAACAACCACCACCAGAACTTCAAAGAATAAAAAAACATCTAAAATCATGTCATTAGAGTCCAAGGAAAGGAAAAATCAGGTAGGGTTGAAAAAGTACTTGAAGAAACCGGGTGCAGTGGCTCACCCCGGCACTTTCAGAAGCCAAGGTGAGAAGATCACTTGAGCCTAGGAGTTCAAGAGCACCCTGGGCAACACAGGGAGACCCTGTCTCTATGAAAACAAAAAATTAGCTGAGTAAGGTATCATATGCCTATGGTCCCAGCTTGAGCCCAAGAGGGTGAGGCTGCATTGAGCCATGATTGCACCACTGCACTCCAACCTGGGCAAAAGAATGAGACCCTGTCTCAAAAAAAAAAAAGAAAAAAAGAAAAAAAGAAAGAAAGAAAGAAAGAAAAAGAAAAAAAAAAAAGAAACACATACACATGCACACAAAACATGAACTTCAAGAAACAATAATTGAAAACTTCCTGGACTTGGCAAAAAAATGTGCCCAGAGACTGAAGAAGCTAAGTAAACACCAAACAGCCTAAATATAAAGAGATCAACACCAAGACCCATCATAGTCAAACTTATAAAAACTAAAGAGAAGTATGTGTAAGAAAAATGACACCTTACATATATGGGGAAAATAACTCAAATGACAGCCGATTTCTCATCAGAAACCATGAGGGCAGAAAGAATTGGCCCATTTTTCAAGGACTGAAAGTAAAGAATTATCACCCTAGAATCTGATACCCAGTGAAAATATCCTTCAGGAATTAAAAGAAATCAAAATATGTTAAGGAAAACTAAGAGGATGTGTCATCAGCAAACCTACTCTAGGCCAGGCACAGTAGCTCACACTTGTTAATCCCAGCACATTGGGAGGCTGTGGCGGGTGGATCACTTGAGGTCAGGAATTCCATACCAACCTGGCCAACATGGCAAAACCCCATCTCTACTAAAAATGCAAAAATTAGCTGGGCATGGTGGTGGGAGCCTGTAATCCCAGCCACCTGGGAGGCTGAGACAGGAGTATCGCTTGAACCCGGGAGATGGAGGTTGCAGTGAGCCAAGATGGTGCCACCACACTCCACCCTGGGTGACAAGAGTGAGACTTCACCACCCCACAAAAAAAATCCTAAATTAAAATAAATGGAATACCAAGAACTATTAGAAAAGTTATACAAAGAGATACACTCAATACAGTATAGACAAAGAAAAATTAAATTCTAAAAAATGTTTCAAGAAACCCTTAAGAAAGCAGAAAAAAAAGAACCAAAGAAATGAAAAAGAGAAACAAAAAGAACCACCCAGTAGTTAAAAAAATAAAGTTATAGCTTAAGCCTAACATATCAATAAGCACATTACATGTGATCGGCCTAAAACACCAATTAAAACACAGAGCTTGACAAAGTTGATTTTTTCTAAATCCAGCTATATGATGTTTATTTTTTTAAAAAAAACTCACTCTAGATACAAGCAGGTCAAAAGAAAAAGACTGGGAAAAGACACATTATCAGAATATGAATCAAAGGAAGGCAGAAGTTTCTCTGTTAGTATCAGATAAAGAGATATAAGAGGCAATGCAAATGATCAGAGATAGAGAAGGACATTATAAAATGCTAAAAAGGGCAAATCCACCAAGAAGACATAATCCTAAATGTACAAGCACAAAGCAACAAAGTTACAAGATACGTGAGGCAAAACGGATGAAGCTTATAACATATACATCTACAATTACAGCTGGAGACTTCAACATCCATCTGCCTCTCCACATTTGATAGAACAGGACAAAATATCAGCAAGGATACAGAAAAACTCACAAATACCATCAACCAACAGGATCAAATTAACATTTATGCAACACTCCACCAAACAACTGAATATACATTCTCAGCCATAAAACAACCTCAACAACAAAACTAAACTAGAAAAAGAGAAAAATAACAGAAAGACAACAAACTTCTAGAGAATTCAAGGGTCAAGCCAGGTGCAGTGGCTCACACCTATAATCCCAGCACTTTGAGAGGCCAAGGTGGGTGGATCACTTGAGGTCAACATGGTGAAACACTATCTCTACTAAAAAAAAACACAAAAATTAGCCGGGCATGGTGGTGGGCACCTGTAATCCCAGCTACTTGGGAGGCTGAGGCAGGAGAATCGCTTGAGCCCGGGAGGCTGAAGTTGCAGTGAGCCAAGATTGTGCCACTTAACTTGTGCCACTGAACTTGAGCCTGCGCGACAGAGTGAGTAAGACCCTGTCTCAAAAAGAAAAATAAAAAAAAAAATGAAACAAAGAGATGATCCTTTGAAAGATCAATAAAATAGAGAAACAGAAACTTCTGGCAAAAAAGAAAAAATAAAACACAAATTATCCTTAACAAGAAGGAACCAAGGCTATCACTACAGATACTGAAGACATCAAAAGGGTAAGAGAATACTATGAAAAACTCTGCACTCATAAATTTGCATACATTTGAACTGTTCAATTCCTCAAAAAGCACAAACTACTGCAAATCATCAATATGAATTACATAACCAGAACAGCTCTCTATTAAAGAACTTAAATTCATAATTTAAAACCTCCCCAAAAGAAATCTCAACGAGATAGTTTCACTGAATTATTCAACCAAATGTTTAAAGAAGAATGAACACTAAGTCTACATAATTTCTTCCAGAAAACATAAAGGATAAGACACTTCCCTATTCATTTTATGAACTTAATATTGCCCTGATACAAAACCAAAGAGAGTTCAAAACTGTAGACAAATATCTCTCATTAATATAGAAAAAGTCCTTAACAAAATGATAGCGAATAGAATTTGCTAATATAGAAACATATAAAAAGAATTAAACATCACAACCAAGTGAGTTTTATTTCAGAGATGCATGGCTAATTCAATATTTCAAAGTCTATGTAATTTATATTAACAAGTTAAAGATGAAAAAGAACATGTGATCTCAATCAATGCAGAAAAAGTATTTGAAAAATTTCAACAGCATGATTTTTAAAAACTCAGAAAAATAGGAATACAGGGGAACTTGATCAAAAATATCTATGAAAATACTACAGCTAATATTGTACTTAGTGATGGCAGAATGAATGGCTCCTCCTATTTTTTTTTTTAAGATGGGGTTTCTCCGTGTTGGTCAGGCTGTTTTCCAACTCCCGACCTCAGGTGATCCGCCTGCCTAGGCCTCCCAAACTGCTGGGATTACAGGTGTAAGCCACCGCGCTCAGCTGGTTCCTCCTAAGAGGATGACTGTTCTCACCACTCATAACGACATACTGTTATGTAGCTAATGTATTATCTAGCTAATGCAGTAAGGCTGGAAAAGGAAATTGAAGGCATACATATCAAAAGAAAAAAAAACAAACAAACACTGTCTTTATTGGTAGATAACATGATTTTCTAAGTAGAAAATCCTGGCAGGACAAAGTGGCTCATGCCTGTAATCCCAGCACTTTGGGAGAGTGAAGGCAGGTATATTACCTGAGGTCAGGAGTTCAAGACCAACCTCCCCAACATGGAGAAACTTCATCTCTACTTAAAATCCAAAAAAGTAGCCGGGCATGATGGCACATGCCTGAAATCCCAGCTACTCGGGAGGCTGAGGCAGGAGAATCATTTGAACCTGGGAGGTGGAGGTTGCAGTGAGTCGAGATCACGCCACTGTACTCCAGCCTGGGCTACAGAGCAAGACTCCATCTCAAAAAAAAAGAAAATCCTGAGGAAGCGGAAGCTCCAAGAAAACTCCTAAAATTAATAAGGTCAACGTCACAGTATACAAAATAAACAAAAATCAATTTTATTTCTATACATGATGAATGAATATGTAAACATCAAAAGTAAAATGACAATATCAATCAAAATTACTCCAAAAATTTAAATACTCAGCAAAAATCTAAACAAGAATGCAGCAATTTTATGATGAAAACTATACAACATTGATAAAGTTCTAAATAAAAAGGCATTTTATGTTCATAAAAATTGGAAGACTTAACAAAGGAAAGATGTCGATTCTCAAATTGGTAAGCAGTTTTTACACAATTCCTATCAAAATCCCAGCAAGATAAGTTACACATAGGGAAGATTATTCTAAAATACAGAGAATATATTCAAAACAGATATTGTGAAACAAGATCAAGAAGTAATATTAAGTGGAGTATTACTTGAAGATAAATTCCTATTAACCAATTACCTGTGCTCCAGCATCTAGCTGCCTTAGGGACCAATATATAAATTTTACAAAAGGCTCATGAAGTTTGGTGTTCACAAATGGCATCCACTGTAACTGCTCTGTCATCAGAGGCAAAAGCTAAAGAGAAAATGATGGAAAATAAATATAAAAACACAGTATTTTTAAATTTCTGAAATCAACTGCTACAATTTTCCAAAATTAACTTAAAAAAAAGTTCTCCAACAAAAAACCTTCACTTTAAAACTATATGCAATACAATTTAGCAATATGTATCTGAAGTTTTATATATGCATTTTCTTTCATCCAGCAATAACAGCACATCTAGTTTAAGGAGATTAACCTACACAAAGATATTCTCTGAACCTTAAATGGTTAAATAAATTTACGGTACATATGTAACCATTAAAAATGATAACCTAGATTCACATTTATTGCCATGGCATATTCTGGTATGGAAAAAAAGGTGTTTATAAGGAAGCAAATGGAATAAAAATCTCATTTACATAAAATATGTCTATATAAATTTATATTGAAAAAGATATATGAAAGGATTATTTTTAAAGCTAGATTTCAGAAACTAGAATAATATTTACTTTTTTACATGTCTACACTGCATGCATATCTAAATATGTTAATTTATAAAAATAATATTTAAATGTTTAAAGATGTCTATGAACTTTGCTTCAAAACAGCATCATTTTGCTAAATGATTTCAGGACCATAAAGATATATTCTAAGGCTCTAACAGAATATTCCCACTTCTGAGATACCAGCCTAAGAAAATCATTTGAAGAAAATCCCTCCAAAAGCCATGTACAAAGATATTTATTGCTACACTGTTTATAAGAGTATAAAACTGAAAGTAATTGTATAGCAATAGAAAAATGTATATATCAACTGTATAAAGATTCTTTGGACTAATGATTATGCATATATTGTGTTTATTTAGATACATGTATTTTTAAAAATTTTCTGGAGCCAGGAGTGGTGGCTCATGCCTGTAATCCCAGCACTTCAGGACGCCAAGGCAGGCGGATCACCTGACGTCAGGAGTTCGATACCAGTCTGAACCAACACAGAGAAACTCTGTGTCTACTAAAAATAATCAGACAGGCATGGTGACGCATGCCTGTAACCTCAGCTATTTGGGAAACTGAGGCAAGAAAATCACTTGAACCAGGGAGGTAGAGGTTGCAGTGAGCCAAGATCACACCATGGACTCAAGACTGGGCAACAAGAGTGAAACTCTGTCTCAAAAAAAAAAAAAAAACTTTGTATATTACAATGTTTTGACATCTTAAAAAACCTTTCCAGTTGGGGAGAGATTGATCCTCCCTGGACCAGCCAATTCTTAAATATAGCAAAGTGCTCAGCCCAGAGTATGCCTCTGATAGACAAAATATTGGTCAGAGCCAGACCAATATTCTCTGCTATAATCTTACCAGAGCCACTAGGAACCACCCCTAGAGCTTAGTACCAGTCAAAATTATTCTAATTAGCCAATCCTATTTGTTCACCCTGCCCTGCATTTTCTTTCATGTGGAAACCACAATAAAGGGTCTGCCCAATGCTTTCCCCGTGGCTCCTGTCTTCCTACCATTGAACACTCTGGTGTCTTTAAAAAAAAAATTGAAACAATTATAGACACCTCTGAAGTTGAAAAATGTCTAAGTAGCATTTTTATGGAAGAATGAAATTTGGACGCCATATACTCTCTTACGGTCATAAGCTCAGTAAAACTTTATATAAACTTCTCTCCCCAACTTTTAAATAAAGTCATGAATCAGTTAATGACAGAGATGCACTATAAAAGAATAAACGGTAAATTCATTAGCCAGTAACATGGTTGTTTATTATCAAGTAGTATGTACTGTACAGAAGTGCGTGTGCTCTATGTCTGTGTAACTGGCGGCACAGGTTTCTTTACATCAGCATCACCACAAACATGTGAGTAATGTGTTCTGCTACAACATCATGACTAGCTATGATATCACAAAGTGACAGGAAATTTTCAACTCCATTATAATCTTTTTTTAAATATTATTTTTTCTTCAGTCTATTATAATTGTATGGGACCACCATAATAAATACACTCTACCATTGTCCCAAACATCATTATGTAGTGGATGGCTGTAGACTGAAAAGATTATACACCATGACTAAGTGAGATTGATTCCTGCAATGTAAAGATGGTTCAACATGTTAAAAATCTAGTGTAATACACCATTTTAACAAAATGAAAGACAAAACCCACAGGATTATTTCAATTGACAAAGAAAAAGTGCTGAACAAGATTCAACATCCTTTCATGATAAAAATACTCAACAAACTTAACAGAGGGAAACAACCTCGATATAATAAAGACTATATATGAAAAGCCCACAGTGTTTACTATGAAGGTGAAAGAATGAAAGCCTTCACTCCCAATTAGGACAAGACAAGGGTGCACGTCCGCATCACTTCTATTCGCCATAGCACAAGCCAGGGAAACCAGGTAAGAGAAAGGAATAGCCGGGCGCGGTGGCTCAAGCTTGTAATCCCAGCACTTCGGGAGGCCGAGGCAGGTGGATCACGAGGTCGAGAGATCGAGACCATCCTGGTGAACATGGTGAAACCCCGTCTCTACTATAAACACAAAAAATTAGCTGGGCATGGTGGCTCGTGCCTGTAATCCCAGCTACTCAGGAGGCTGAGGCAGGAGAATTGCCTGAACCCAGGAGGCGGAGGTTGCGGTGAGCCGAGATCATGCCACTGCACTCCAGCCTGGGTAACAAGAGCGAAACTCCGTCTCAAAAAAAAAAAAAAAAAGAAAAAGAAAAAGAAATAAAAAGGATCCAAATTCGAAAAGAAGGAGTAAAACCATTTCTCTTCTCAGATGGCATGACCTCATATGTAGAAAGAATTGTGGAATCCTAAATATTCCACAATTTTAAAAAAAAAAGTTAGAATATACAAATTCAGCAAAGTTGCTGAATACAAAATCAATACTCAAAAATCAGATGTGTTTCCATACACTAACAGTGAACAATCCAAAAAGGAAATTAGGAAAACAGTTCCATTTACAAATAGCATCAACATTAATAAAATACTTAGGAATAAACCTAAGCAAGCAGGCAAAAAACGTATACACTAAAAAACACAAAACAGTGAAGAAAAAAATTAAAACAGACACAAATAAGTAGAATGAAATTTTATGTTCGTGGGTTAGAAAACTTAGTATTATTAAGGTGTCCATGCTACCCAAAGCGATCTACAGGTTTGATGTAATCTCTACCAAAATCTATAGAGCATTCATTTACTATGGTGAACAGTATAGCAGTTTCTCAAAAATTGAAAATAGAACTATCAAATGATCTAACAATCCCATTATGAATATATGTCCAAAAGGATTAAAAGCACAATCTTGAATGGATATTTGCAAGCCCATATTCATATCAGCACTATTCTCAACATCCATGAGATGGCAGCTGCCCAACTATCCATAAATGAATGATACATAAAACTCTTGAAAGAAAACATACAGGGCCGTGCGCGGTGGCTCACGCCTGTAATCCCAGCACTTTGGGAGGCCGAGGCGGGTGGATCATGAGGTCAAGAGATCGAGACCATCCTGGTCAACATGGTGAAACCCCGTCTCTACTAAAAATACAAAAATTAGCTGGGCATGGTGGCGCACGCCTGTAGTCCCAGCTACTAGGGAGGTGGAGGCAGGAGAATTGCTTGAACCCAGGAGGCGGAGGTTGTGGTGAGCCGAGATCGTGCCATTGCACTCCAGCCTGGGTAACAAGAGTGAAACCCCGTCTCAAAAAAAAAAAAAAAAAAAAAGAAAGAAAACATACAGGTATCTTACTATGGTTTTGCATTTCCTTACAGATTAGTGATGTTAAACATCTTTTTATGTGCTTAGGGGTCATTTCTGTATCTTTAGAGAAATATCTACTTAGGTTATTTGCTTGCATTTTAAAAAACAGGGTTTTTTGGTTTTGTTTTTTACTGAATTGAAAGAGTTCCTTATATATTGTGGGTAGCAATCACGTGTCAGATACACAATTTGAAAATATTTCCTCCCATTCTGGTGACTGCCATTTTACTCTGCTGATGCACAAATGTTTTTAATTTTGATGAAGTTCAGTTTATTTTTGCTTTTGTTGCCTGTGCTTTTAGTGTCTTAGCCATGTAATCACTGCCAAATCTAATATTATGAATTAGGAAAGGAGGAAGTCAAATTGTCTTTATTTGCAGACGACATTATTGTATATCTAGAAGACCCCTTCGTCTCAACCCAAAATCTCCTGAAACTGATAAGCAACTTCAGCAAAGTCTCAGGATACAAAATCAATGTGAAAAAATCACAAGCATTCCTATACCCCAATAAGAGACTTAAAGAGAACCAAATCAAGAGCAAACTGCCATTCACAACTGCTACAAAGAGAATAAAATACCTAGGAATATGCTACAAAGAGAATAAAATACCTAGGAATACGACTAACAAAGGATGTAAAGGACCTCTTCCAGGAGAACTATAAACCACTGCTCGACGAAATAAGAGAGGACACAAACAGATGGAGAAACATTCCATTTTCATGGTTAGGAAGAATCAGTATCGTGAAAATGGCCATACTGCCCCAAAGTAATTTATCAATTCAACGCTATCTGCATCAAGCTACCACTGACCTTCTTCACAGGAACTGGAAAAAAAACACCTTAAACTTCATATGGAACCAAAAAAGAGCCTGTATAGCCAAGACAATCCTGAGCAAAAAGAACAAAGCTAGAGGCATGATGCTACCTGACTTCAAACTATACTACAAGGTTACAGTAACCAAAACAGCATGGTATTGGTACCAAAACAGAGATATAGACCAATGGAACAGAACAGAGGCCTCAGAAGTAATGCCACACATCTCCAACCATTTGATCTTTGACAAACCTGACAAAAACATGCAATGGGGAAAGGATTCCCTGTTTAATAAATGGTGTTGGGAAAACTGGCTGGCCATGTGCAGAAAGCTGAAACTGGACCCTTCCTTACACCTTATACAAAAATTAACTCCAGATGGATTAAAGATTTAAACATAAGACCTAACACCATAAAAACCCCAGAGGAAAATCTAGGC